TCCATTCCATTCCATTCCATTCCATTCCAAAAATACGAGTTAGGTATATTAGTAAAGAAAGAAGCAGACATACTGAGAACTCCGGAATTTAAAATTTTAAAAGAATTAAAATTTTATTTTACTAAGCTTTCTTCAGTCATCTGCTGACATTGTCAGAGTATTAAACTACCATTACAGAGATCTCTGTCTTTATATGCCATTAATCAATTTGGCCCTTGCACGTGTAATAGGCCTTTCCAGCCATCTCCCACTGGTAATCAGCTGTGTTGTCTCATGCTGGATGATGGAGGCTTGATTCCTACTGTTTCCTCCCTCCCAGCTTGCTTATCAGTGGGGGATGATGTTTGCCTGTCAGTCATTGCATTTTGCTGCCTTGTCTGTGACCTCGAGGTCAGCCAGGTTTGTCCAACCCCTGGACAGATAAAGGGGACGCCCATGGGATCTCCAATCTCGGGAGTGGTAGCAGAGGCGGTCCTCCAGAAATTGGAAAATGAGGCTATGAAAATGTACAAGCCCAAGTTTTGGGCACATTATGTCGATGACACGTTTGTCATCGTTAAACGGTGAGATAAGACCAGCTTTATAAGAACCCTCAATTCCATATATCTGGACAATCTGGACATATCTGGACAATGGAAGAAGAGACCAACAACTTGCTGGCCATTCTGGATGTGCTGGTCAACCACGACCCAGACAGGAGTCTTGATACACGTGTGCATCGGAAAACCATGAACACGGACCAAATTTTACATAATGAGAGCAATCACTCCATGGCACATAAAATCAGTTGTATTCGTGCACTGTTCAGTAGGATAGACACTCATTGTAGTAAACCAGCAGCTAAAGCCAAGGAGCGGGCATATCTTTATCAGGTCTGCAAGCTCAATGGATACTCAATGGACTTTATCCGAAGGTGTGCTACACCTAGGGTTCGGCAGCCTATTGAAGGTGCCAGTGGAACTGCTGCATGGAGGGTACTCCCATATATACAGGGGATATCCGAAACTGCTGCACGGATCCTCTCGGCACATGGAGTCAAAGTGGCGCATAAGCCGGACCAAACACTGAGAATGAGAGTGATGCGCCCAAAGGAAGCATTATCCAAGGAGGAGACATCTTCAATAGTTTACCACATCAACTGTAGTAATTGTGCAAGCAATTACATAGGGGAAACGGCCAAGCAGTTACAGACCAGAGTACACGAACATGAACTGGCTCTCCGACACAAGGAACAGCGCTCTCAGATCTGGATGCATATGAAGGAGCACAACCACACATTTGATTTTCAAGAGGCTGAGGTTATTGCCCATTATAGGAACAAAGGAGGACGCCTACTAAAAGAAGCCTGGCTCTCCAATAACAATTCCATCAACAGGCATATCGAACTGCCACCAGCTACCAGGCTTTGAGACACCAGGAAAGACCCTGCAGGAGGAGCAGAGACGGCTTTCCATCAGTGAGCAGAGACCAAAGCCCCCCACCCCCCATCTCTGGGCATGCAGACTCAGCCTGTGAAGGCATAATTAGTTCTGACCAAACACAGAACAACCCGGCAGGGCTGCCTCAAATTGTAACAGATAGGATTAATGAGAAACAAACCTGGCTGACCATGAGGTCACAGACAAGGCAGCAAATTGCAATGGCTGACAAGCTAACATCATCCCCCATTGATAAGCAAGCTAGGAGGGAGGAAACAGTAGGAATCAAGCCTCCAGCATCCAGCATGATGACAGCAAAAACAACACAGCTGATTACCAGTGGGAGATGGCTGGAAGGGCCTATTACACGTGCAAGGGCCAAATTGATTAATGGCATATAAAGGCAGAGATCTCTGTAAAGGTAGTTTAATACTCTGACAATGTCAGCAGATGGCCGACGAAAGCTTAGTAAAATAAAATTTAAATTCTTTTAAAATTTTAAAAGAATTTAAATTCTTTTTAAATTTATGCATGCATACTGTGTGTGTGTGTATACACATACATACATACCTACATACCTACATACATACATACACACACATACACCTGCCAGAATGATCATGGATATATATATCCCTGATCATTCTGACAGATGAGACAAACAGAACCGTGCTGAAAATGGTAGCTCCTACAGCAGAATTAATAACATCCAGAAACTTTAGTACACATTTACCTGTGGAAATAATCACAACTTATTGTAAAAGAATAGAACCCATTTCCACTGCCCCAAAGCCATCCATAAGTGGAAAGGGGCAATAAGCTATGTTGGAGGCAAATAGATACAATGCAGTGGTGGGTTCCTCCCGGTTCGGTCCGGTTCGGCTGAGCCAGTAGCGGTGACGATATGACATCACCGAACTGGTTCTCCCCCCCGTCCTCCCACCACCCCCCACCCACGTTATTCTTACCTTTTATTTGGTCCCACCCCCAATCTATTGCTGCCTCCTAGCTGATGACTAGAAAAAAACTGTTTAAACTCTTGCCGCGGGGCTTCAAAGGGCTGTCCTACAGCTGATCAGTTGCTTTTACCCTTCTTTGCTTCTTTACGCAATAAATAGTAAACAAGGCTTCCACAATTTGTTCTGTTTGTTCAAACGTCATTGAGTTGTTCATCTTCAGGTATGTATTTCAAACTTATTTTTCTAAGAATTGCTTCTTCTGTTGTCTAGAAGAGATTGAACATAAAAAGTCTCCTGTAAACTTCCTTCATTTACAGGTCAGAATGGGAAACATAATTTACAAAGTAGAATTATTTATGTTTTCTGTGATACATTTGTAGCCCCACCATCACTGTTTTAAGATATTGTCATCCATGATAATTACAAAACATTAATTACCAGAAGCATTCAGGCTATCAAATCCATTGATGTTTTCTCTTCTATCATTCAAGATATTCATCTGAGTAAAAGGAAGTAGAATTTGATATTTATTTATTTATTTATTTATTTATTTATTTATTTATTTATTTATTTATTTATTTATTTATTTATTTATTTATTTAATTAAATTTCTATACTGCCCTTCTCCCGAAGGACTCAGGGCGGTGAACAGCCACAAGATAAAACACATAAATACAAAAATTTAAAATAGATTAAAAACAAATTAAATAATTTGGCTGAATTTAAAATTCAAATTTTAAAATTTATTTGACACTGTATGTATAACCTTTGGACTCCAAGGCATTTTCATGTTGCTGTCACAGCAGCAATATCTCTCATTAAGCAGATATCTATTTTTTTTTTTCAACAATTCTTTCAGTTACTCTGGATCAGTGGTGGGTTGTTCCTGGTTCGCACTGGTTCTATAGAACCAGTAGTAAAACTGTCGGGAGAACCCTGCCCACCGACCCCAACATCACCAAAATGCATCTATGTGTGCAAAGCGAGCACGCGCAGCCCTGTTGCGAACCAGTAGTAAAGGTAAGTAGAACCCACCCCTGCTCCGGATGTATATGTCCCCTTCAGTTTTATCTTGACCCCTAACAACTTTATGGATCCATCTACCAGTATCTAGGCTTTATTGACAACAATGTCAATAAAGCCTAGATAAAGCCCCCGCCCCCCAATTTGTATCCTAAGGACAACCCTGTTGTTTCTTGGTACTACCCCAACCAGCTTCTAATCGGGAGTTCTCCTGCATTGCCTTTAAGGATCAAGCTTGGCTCAGCACTTTATCTGCTTGAACTTCTAGATATATATTATTTTTTAAATTTATTGCCTGCCTGAGTGAATATTTTGTGCTTATCACAGTTGAGAAATATTATACTCCATAGATGTTAACATAACCAGGAAATAGAGCCCTTCACACTCTTAGGACCCCAGGCCCAGGGATATAAACAGGTCTTCAACACTCTTCTGAGCATTGCCTTCTGAAAGGCATTTCTGGGGAAGTAATGGCAGATCAAAGACAACTTCACTTTTAGTGGAGCCAGTAGCCATAGTGGAAAGTGGAACCAATGAATGAATTGGCTACCCAAATGCCTCTCTAGATTAAGGAGAAGTTTTGGGATTGCGCAGAGTGCTTCCAACATATGTTCTCTATAATGATAGTTATAATTTGGAAATTTAAAAAAAAGAATAATTACAATGTTGATTTTGGAAAGCTTTTAAATTGACTAAAGGAGTCAATTGACTGAAAAGAAGATTTTGAAACAAAGAAATACCTACTGTGGTTTGTTTAAAATCTTATTAAAATAGATAAAGATTTTGAGTTTCAGAAATTTCTTTCTGGGAAAATGTTGTGTATGAAAGAAAAACATGATAAGAGGAGACTGTGGTTACAATAGGCCAGGGGTGTCAAACTCAATTTCATTGAGGGCCGCATCAGGATTGTGTTTGACCTTAGAGGGGCTGGAGAGGGTGGCCATGGTGGGCGCAGCCAACTCGGCATCACTTGTGTTGGAGGCATCTGTGGTGGCCCAAGTGCTCTGCCAGCAGCCCTCCCAAACTCCATTTTCATTGGCAGAGGCATTGTGGGCCGGTTCTTCACTATTTCCAGGGCAGCTTCGCAAGTCAGATCAGGCCTTGAGTTTGATACCCCTTCTATAGGCAATCAGAAAGATTTAATTTTAACTCAGAAAAGTGACTTGGGACAGTTTTCGTACTTTGGATTTATAAAAGAAATGTGTTATGAAGACAATCCTATAAATCAGCTTCTGAGATATTACTTACAAAGAATAACCATCAATTTTTTTAAAAGTAAAATGAATGTGTACAAAGTGGGCTTATTCAACCAAGGTTAAAATCTGTACAATTTTTTGTTTTCTCCAGAAGTTTTTAATTGATTTTTCTTGATTAGGACTGATTAGGACTTGATTAGGACTTTAAAGATTTGCTAATAGGTAAGCTATGGGAATAAGGCATTGCATTTTTAGAGTAAGTGATAAGGTATGGTATTAAAATTAAGAGGAGATGTAGAAAAGATAATAAATTAATTTGTGGGATGTCATTTCAAAATATTAAAAATTAAAATGTTTAATATGTTGTCTCCCAAGAATCATGAAGTGGTAAAAGCTCTGTTTATAGATATGAAATAAAATATGAGAATATTTTTTTCTTTCTTTCTTTCTTTAGAGAAAATGACAAGATATTGCGCAAAGTAAATGAAAAAAGTATAAAATTGTTTTATTTGTTTTAAATTAAAATACATGTTATTTCTGATCTCTTAATCAACTGCTGCTGCATAAGATCTCATCTTTTATCTATTAACAAATAATATTCATCATCCAGAGGCTTTATTATTTAGAGAATGAGATTTAGGATGAAACGATTTTTGACTGAAATATTAAAGAAGGTATTAAATTGCTGAAAACATTTGTACTTGTGATGAAGAGTCATTTTTAAAAATTTTTATACTTTTTCCCTTTTTCTCTCCCTCTGTTTTTTCTTTTTCTCTCTTCACTTTTCACGTTTCTTTATACACTTCCCTAGTTTGTACTGATTTATTTTTGAATAGTTAAGCTTTCATTAAAATTATTTTTTTTAAAATCCTCCCAAAAGGCCAAAAGGGTCAACACCATCCTAATCTCAGAAGGAAGATATTCCAGAGGGCAGGTGCTATAGCAGAGGAGGCGTATCTCCTGGTCTCTGGCAGCCGATATTCTTTGGCTGACATGACTTGGCATTATTTGCTTCAGCTAATAAGGCTTAAAACCTCATTACTACTGGAGTTTTTGTTGTCTCTGGATCCAAAAGAACCAGTTGCTAATTGGGCACCTGAACAGCCTCACTTGGGAGCCCGCCCTCCTCTTTTTTTTTTGTCAAGGGGAGGAATATGGATCTTGTGAAAGCCCTTCCACAAGGTCAATATTCTGATCTGTGCATCAAAAAACTTTAAGGGCACAGTTGCAGCTTCCCATGAAAGCAAAGACCCGATATTTTCTTTACCCAAGCCATTATGTGCATCCTTCTTCAGGCAACTGGCTGCTTTCTCTTTTCTCTCTCCTCTCCTCCCTAGGCAGTCACTTTTTGCAAGATTTCACTCTTTGTCAGCCTTATAAAGCAGACCAGATTAAGCAACCAATGCCATATCAGCCAGGACTCTATTTACTTCCTCATTTGTATCTTTGTTTGAACTAGTTCTGAGATATTTACTCAAAGTCCTCTGTTACACCAGCAGCTTGACAGTAGAGTGCCAAAATTTTTAGTACTATTAAACTGCAAATGGGGTAGGCTTCTACGCCTGTTTATTTTCAAGGAGGGCAGCTCTACTATACCAGTGAGAAAAGGCCTTTTCCTGCCTGCAAAGAAGCAGCAGCTGTGTTCCTCATGCTCCAGAAAAAAAACCTAATGACAATAGAGCTCTTCTCCCTTTCTTGGACTTTGGAACCTATTTCCCAAAATAATGTTTTCTATCAAAGGCTTTAAAGAACCTAATTAATCCTTTCAATGGGATGTGATTCTCAGCCCAAAGATAACAGGGCTTCTTTTCTTCTTTCTAAGGCTTTGTTTTGAATTAAAACATGCACATGAGATTTAGAGAACATTGTGTAACTGTTGTTGGAAGTTATGATTCACTCTTCTCCTAGGAAAAGAAAAAGAAATTTAAAAATATTAAAAGGGCAGGAAAATTCCCCTAAAAGAAAATAGAAGCAGAAACTCAGGCAGAGATTCAGTCCCCACCTTTGTCAATGGGCCATTAGTTAGAATTTTAAACACATGAGAAAAGGAGATATTCACAAAAACACAGTAAGAGCAAACTGATTAATTATAAGGAACTACTACAAAGGGCTAGGAAAAACAGAGATTGGACTATAAATTACTTATTTGCCAGATCCAGGATGGAAGAACCCAATCCCCAAAAGAAGGATTTAAACACCATAAAAAAATCACACACATAAAACAAAGGATTCGCATGCGAAATCAAAAGAATTTCAAAAGACTTTAAAGGGTCACATACAAAATCAAAAGACTTTTTAGGATATAAAAAAGGGTTTTTCTTACAGTTCAAACAGGCTAGCCTCGGAACACTGTGCATGTTTTTGTTTCTTGCCTGCTTCCCTATAAACAATAAACTATATCCGGCTCTCACGCAGCTGACCTCAATCATTTCGAAGTAATCTCCCAGCCGGGAGTTTTGAATTCAAAAAGAGAAAATTCTGCCTTTCAACAATCCTTAAAGGGAAAGGCTTCTTTTTTCTTTCAACACTGTCAATGAGGCAGAATGCTTAATACCAGTAACTGCTAAGTAATTTAAGTTTCTGATTCAATTATACCTTATAACTATATGTAGATACATGTGAGCAATATAGATCATATCAGAATAATAAATTGAGGGAAAACCATTGTCATTTGGTTCAAATGAGGTATGTTTCCAGATAAGGCATATATTACACAATCTTGAACTTAAATAATCCATATTTTTTCTATCTTTTTTATTCTTAGGTATTCGTAACTATCTTCTTCACATGCTAATATGGTTAGTTACAGCTTTCTAACATACTTTACAATATTTTTCCTGAGATATTTTATCCTGCAAATGTTTACATATAGAGAACTGACACCAGCTAACAACCCAGGAAAATGAGATGCCAGTAATGCTCCAGTCTTCCCAGATATAGACATTTCCTTTGTATGAAAAAGGAATATATTAATAACTAGGACCAAGGAACTGATGAGGAGCAGGAGACTGTAAATTGGTGCAATGTATTCTGTGGAATTGTGGCTGTAGGAATTATCTATGAAATTCCTTCACTGACAATTTAATTGCAATGACAACCATATTATGATTTTCTTTCTAAATTAATTAAATTTATTTTGTTTCTTTACAGAATTGCTTTTTCAATTCATGTGCATTTTCATTTCAGATTTGAAGCAACTCTCCAGCTCTATTTCCTCCAAAATAGCAGATGGGTCTTTTATATTGAAACCAAGAAACTATGGGCTGTTTAGACCTCTTCCAAGATTACCCTAAAAAAAAAGAAAGAAAAATATTGCTAATCAGATGAGGATGGAAGGAGCAATAAATGACCTTTCTCCAAAGTATTTAGTAAAGATCCTGAATCCATTGGTGTGAAATACATTGGGATTTTGATTTAAGACCTGAAAATAACATCAGTAGATGCCACTGTATTTGCCCCTATACCTTATACTCAGAGGGAATATTATTGCACAAGATAAGGATATGGTCCCATCCATTAAATATGGAAGGAGCTTGCCTTGTCCCTTGCCTGTCTTCAGCAATCAGGTCCTTCTGCTTGTTGTTTGGGAATTGCAGATTAGTGACATCCATGAATCAGGATATAAGGGACTCTGCACTCATGTTTATATGAGAAAGGAGTGGATCATTTTGTATTAATGCAGATTGTTTTACATTTAGAATTTTACATTCAGAAATACTTCAGTTAAAACCGAGGGATAAATCTTTAAAATAGGACACTGAATTTTCTTCATGTGCTGTTTCCAGATTGCTGACTGTTTAACAAGTTTATTCACTTGAATCAATGAAATAATTCATGTTGTTCTGCTAGTTATTTCTTTCTGTTTTCTGAGTTTTTGAAGGTTGGCCTTGAATGCAATCTACCCAAGTGCTAAGTCACAGTTAAACATTAATTTAACTTACCCAACCACCTTGCCTTTCAATATAGCCTCTCACTTCAGGATTTCCATTGATTGTTTCCATAAGTATGTTTATCTGGCCCTTATCTCCATGAGTTTTCTTTATAAGTTTCTCAAACAACTTCACAACAACAGCTAGAAAAGCTCTTTCAGGCTCTAGCCCAGGAGTTTGACTGCTCCAATTCCTGCTGAGAGATTCTGCTACTTCTCCAAACTTCTTTATCTGTAAACATAGAATGAATATTTTTAAAAAATAAAATGTAATTACTGAAAGACAACAAGTATTTATGGTGAGGAACATCTCTGGTTCATCTTAAAATTTGAATCAAACATTTATTAATAGGATTAAAGATCTGTTTTGTTCAACTTGTGCAACAAAATTGACAATAATAATACTTAAAGTATTTCAATTAAAGCTTAGAATAGTCTGAGTTTCATGAACCAACCAGTCCATTATTAGGAAAAAGATGAAGATCAAGAGCTGCTGAAGAGACAAGCAAATATGAAATAATGATGTCAAAGCTTGACATGAGATCTTGGTGGAATCATCTTCCTCTTCAATTCTAGACTGAATCATTTGATGATGGAAAAGAATTTTGAATTCTTTAAGAAACGATAGGATGGTGCTTTGAAAACTGAACACTAGAAGGAACTAAAGATTAAAATAGACAAGAAAATGGTAAGTGAGCACCTGTCCAGCCTAGACCAGTTCAAATCACCAGAACCAGATGGATTACACCCCAAGATTCTGGAAGAACTAGCAGACATGATCTCAGAACTATATCTTTCAAAGATCCTGGAGCACTGGGGAACTACCAGAGGACTGGAAAAGAACTGATGTAGTTCCCATCTTCAAAAAAGGGAGAAAAAATAGATCCAGGAAATCACAAACCTATCAGCCTGATTCAAATACCTGTGAAGATTCTGGAAAAGATAATAAAGCAATGAAACTGTGAACACCTAGAGGCAAACAAAGTCATAACCAAAAGCCAACATGGGTTTGTCAAAATTAGATCATACCAGACAAATCTTACTGCATTCTTTGACAAAGTGAAAAAATTAGGAATGCTGTGGATATAATTTACTTGGACTTCAGTAAGGCATTTGATAAAATAGACCACAACCTACTACTTGATAAGAGAAAAAATGTGAGTTAAACAGCATTACTACCAGATGGATTCGTAACTGGCTGACAAACTGCACTCAACGTGTACTCCTCAATGGAACTGCATCTATAAGGAGGGAAATATGCAGTAGGGTACCCCAAGGTTCTGTTTTAGACCCAGTACTCTTCAACAACTTCATCAATGATTTAGATGAGGGGATAGATGGAGAACTCATCAAATTTGCAGATGACAGCAAGCTGGCAGGAGTAGCGAACATTTCAGAAGATAGGCTTAAGATACAGAAGGATCTTGACAGACTTGAACACTGGGCACTATCTAACAAAATGAAATTCAATGGTAAAAAAGTAAGATTCTACATTTAGGCAAGAAAAATCAAATGCACAGGTATAGTATAGGTGGTACCAGGCTCAATAACATTGAACTGGAACTCACAGTCTCCTGCACCTTAACCACTGGACCAAACATGCAAGTGAAACTGTGATGTCTTAATAATTAAGAGGGATGTACAAAAGAGGGATGTACAAAAGAGTGGCCTAGATATGGGATATATCTCTATATGGGATTTACAAAAGAGACTTTAGTTAAAGTTTTGAAGGATTTTGTGAGAAGAGTCAGAGAAAAAAATAAAAAGAAATCAAGTTATAGGACATTATTTGAAGGTATTAAAGATTAAGGAAGGGATATAAAGTTATTTTATGTGATTCAGGTTATATAGGTATGTCGTTAATTCTGCTAATAAATCTAAATATTTTTTTAATAGATAGGAGATGACATATGGGAAGAACAGATCATTTATTTATTTAAGAGAAGGCAATGAATTACTAAAATTGTTTATACTTGGCATATGGAAGGGGAAACTATTTCTTTATATTTTTACTTTTTTACTATATTATTTTTCTTTCTTTTCTATTTTGCCTTCTTTTCTGAACTTAGTTCAGAAAGTTTTTCTTTTTTTTCTTTTTTTGAAGTTCGTACTTTTTTAATTATAACATTCAACAAAATTACAATTTTTTAAAAAAATAACAGCATAAAACATATCAAACTAGAGAGGTTCAAAGTAGCCAATGTAAAATGCTTTGCATCTATGAGGCAGCAAAATGTATTCTGGCAAAATTTACATCTACATAGATAATTTCTATTAGATAATGGTAAATTAAAACTAATGGATTTGGTCCAGCATGCTTAGGAAGGTAATTACCTTTGTTATGCTTTCCTCTGCAAGAACTGCCTGTACTTGGCCCTCCATCTCTGTTTTGTACTGATCTCTTATGGATCGCAATAATATGGCAATATCAACTGGATCAAAACTGCTTGCAGAATCAACTGTTGGTTAACAGAAGGCCAATACAGATTTACAGTTTCGGTCTCTTATAAAAAATATTCTAATTTGTTTTCTATTCTATTTCAATTCTAATCCTTTTGACATGTCCCATTTAACATTTACCTACATCTTAAGTTTTAGATTTAGAGGATTTAGATTTGCTTATTTAAAAAATATAGGTAATTCTCAGGTTACAATCACTTGTTCAGCAACTATTCAAAGTTAGGAAAGTGCTGAACGAGGGAGACTCAGAATCAGTCTATGAAGTTTCAGTGAACGCAGCATCCTTGCAGTCATGTGCAATCATTTTCAACATTCCCTACTGGCTTCTCACAATAGCAATAGCACTTAGATTTATATACCACTTTATAGTGCTTTTACAGCCCTCTCTAAGCGGTTTACAGAGTCAGCATATTGCCTCCAACAATCTGGGTCCTCATTTAATCCACCTCGGAAGGATGGTGGGGTGAGTCAACTTTGAGCCAGTGAGATTTGAACTGCTGAACTGCAGTTCAACTGCAGTCAACTGAAGTAGCTTGCAGTACTGCACTCTAACCACTGCACCACCTCGGCTTTTTAAGCAACATCAATGAGGCAGCCAGCAGGAAGTTTCAAGTTGCTCCAGCTGCTTTTCCACCCACACACCTTCCACTGCGCCACTTTCCTGTGACACTCCTTTGCCCACTCATAGCTCTCAAGCACAGTTCTCACCTGCCGGCCCACTTGCCTGGGCCCTGTGTCTTAGCAATTCTGAATCTATGAAGAGAAAACAAAGTTTTTTATCTCAGAGAACAAGAAACTGAATCATCTAGATAAAGGCAGAAGGAGAAAGGTACCTATGAAGCTTACTCAACTAGCCTAGCCTGCCTAATGTAGTGATAAAACAGATGGAGGAAAGTTAATGGGTGTTATCAAAATAATAGATACATTGCACAGGGGATATCTTGGTATAAAATGGTTGTAAACCTCAAAATGGCACACAGCAGGCTCAGACTAAATTATTTTGCTTCACAACTGATGTGTCTGCGACCGAATGTGGAGTCTCCCACACAATGGTTTCAGAAATGATTGTATAAAATAATCTGATCTACCTAGTTTCATTTTCAATTTGGAGGCCAATTCCCATGTTACTATTTAATTTAGGGACTGCTTTTTTACTTGCCCATGCTATATAGTGCCTGCCTGTGGCACCTTCCCTGCCTCCCATGGCACCCATACACCTTCCACTGTGCCACGTTCCTGTGACACTCCTTTGCCCACCCATAGTTCTCAACCACAGTTCTCACCTGCTGGCCTGCTGGCCTGGGTCCTGCATTTTATCAGTTCTGGGTCTATGATGAGAAAACAAAGTTTTCTATCTCAGAGGACAAGGAACTGAAAGGGGAATCATCTAGAGAAAGGCAGAAAGAGAAAGGTACCTATCAAGTTCACTCAGCTAGTTTAGCTTGCTTAATTGTGAAGATAAAAGCAATGGAGGAACATTAATGAATGTAATCAAAGTAATAGATACATTGCATAGGGGATATCTTGGTATTGTGAGACATTTTATATCCAAATACATTTTATTCATTATACTGTTTCCATCTTTCCCTTAAATATAGTAACCAAATCCACAAAGGTCTGAGAATTAGTGTCTCCAAGTTAATCAAATTAGCAAACTTCCTCAAATCCTGAAAAAGGTCATTGAGACCTAATCCAAATATCAAAAAATAAGGTCTGCAAACACAAATAGATTTAACTAAATTAAGTCTCCCAATAGAACTGTATATTCACAAGAATACATATCCACCCACCCACTCACACTCATTCACAGATACACGCCTCTTACCATGTAGACACTTCCCCATCCCAAACAAGCTTCTCCACTCCAGACAAACAAACCGTTTTGCTTTTAGGAGTAAATAGTTCTACTTTCCTCACAGCTGTCTGCATCTCATTTTTATTTATTCTTGTGTAACCCTGGCTTGAGTTGGAACCCCAAATTATTCTTCTGACAGTATGTAATGGTTGTAAACCTCAAAATGATACACAACAGGCTCAAACTAAATTATTTTGCTTCACAATCGATGTGTCTGACACAGAATTTGAAGTCACTCACATAATGATTTCATAAGTGATTGCGTAGAATAAACTGATCTATATGTTTTCAGTTTCAATTTGGAGGCCAATTCCTTTGTTACTATTAGATTTAGGGACTGCTTTTCTACTTGCCCATGCCCTATAGTGCCTGCCTGTGGCACCTTCCCTGTCTCCTATGGCACCCACTCACCTTCCACTGCTCCATGTTCCTGTGACACTCCTTTGCCCACCCATAGCTCTCAACCACAGTTCTCACCTGCCGGTACACTTGTCCAGGTCCTGTATCTTGTCAATTCTAGATCTATGAAGAGAAAACAAAGTTTTCTATCTTACAGAACAAGGAACTGAAAGGGGGAAAGTTACCTATGAAGCTCACTCAGCTAGCCTAGCTTGCATAATTGTAAAGATAAAAGAAGTGGAGGAAAGTTAATGGATGTTATCATCGTAATATATTATATAGTGGATATCTTGGTATGCAATGGCTGTAAACCTCAAAATAGCAACAGCATGCTCAGACTAAATTATTTTGCTTCACAATTGATGTGTCTGAGACAGAATTTAGAGTTCCTCACACAATGATTTCACAAGTGATTGCGTAGAATAAACTGACCTATCTGGTTTTAGTTTCAATTTGGAGGCCAATTCTTATTTTACTATTAGATTTGGGAACTGCTTCTGCTCACTTTCATGTCTTATGTCAGTGGCCATGATATTAGATCATTGACCAAATGGCTATGGATTGCTCTATTTCCTACATGTGTTCCTATTTGCATCCATTACAAAGAAGTAATTCATGTATATCTCATGTTTCCTGCTACTGAATCAGGAGTCTGGCAATTCAGGATTTTGAAAAATCAAGGACTGACTTTGTTATAGGGCCTGTCTGTGTTTAAAAAACTGCCTCCTTAAAGTCCCACCATCAACCATCCCAATCTAATCTTTTAAATATGTACTTGAATATAAATCCCATTTTTCCCATACAGTACAACCCATGGTCATGCTAGCTACTGAGGCAAACATAAGTCTTGCTAAAAATAGTAGCTCTTACAGGAGAATTAACAACATCCTGAAACTTTAGTACACATTAAATCAACTAATGTTTTAATTAATAAGCAGTAGCTTTAAGCAGAACTATTCAGTTTAAAAATCTTACTGAATTTTAAAATTTTATTTAAATGTAACTGATCAATTAGAGGGCAAATGGTTAAAATCCTTTAAATTAGTGGTTTCCACTAGCATCTATGCACTACAGCACAGATGTCAAGCTTGATTGCGTGATGCATCACGTGATGTCACATGATGTATTGTGACTTTTTTGCCCTTGCGGAGCTGGGGTAGGCGTGGCCTAAGTGTGATGCATTCGGCCTGTGGGCTGCCAGTTTGACACCCTGCACTACAGCATATAGAAACTATCAAAAAAAACACTATGGTAGGAAACTTATTTTTTCTTCCAAGCTAGATGCAGCTGCTGGTCCTGACTTCAAAATTTGGGAAATACAAAGCCACTCCCCACCCCACCCCACCCAGACACACTGCAAATTTTCTTCCAAAAAATTGTCATTACCTTCAATTACGATCATTTTTCTAGGCTGGAGTGGGTATTGCTTCCTTGAGTAAAGAGTAGTAAATAATACTTCCGCAATTTGTTTTGTTTGTTCTTCAAACATCATCGAGTTGTTCATATTCAGATATGTATTTCAAACAGAAGTTTCTGTCTTATTTTTTAAAGAGTTGTTTCTTCTGTTGTCTAGAAGAGATCAAACATAAACATTCTCCAGCAGCTTCCTTCATTTACAGGTCAGAATATATAACATTCAGCAGATACTCCTCAGAACAGGAAACGTAATTTACAAAGTAAAATTATTTATGTTTCCTGTGATACATTGGTAGCGACACCATAGCCATATAAATATATTGCCAACTATGATAAATAAGAAACACTAATTATCAGAAACTGATATCAAGTCCACCAATGCTTTCTCTTTTACTATTCAAGACTCAGTCGCCTAAAAGGAAGTAGAATTTGATATTTGATATTGTATGCATAACCTTTGAACTCCAAGACATTTTCATGCAGCTATAATAGCAGTAATGTCTCATTAAGCAACTACAGTATGTATTTTTTCAACAATTCTTTCAGTTATTCTAGATGCATACCGTAAATCTCATCTGTTTGTAACTTTATATTATTTCACAATCATTTCTTCCCATTGAAGGGGAGTTGGGTTTTCCAACTATAAAGTTCCCTTCAAGTTTATCTTGACCCCTAACAGCTTTAGGTATCCATCCAATTTAGGCTTTATTGGCAACAATGTAGAACTTATTTGCTACTGCTTTTTTTTTTCAAATTTGTATAAAGACAACTCTGTTATTTCTTGACACTATGCCATATAGCTTCTAACAGAGTTTTACCCTGTGCTGTTTTTAAAGATTCGCTAAGCTTGGCTCTGCACTGCCTTCTACCTGAACTTCTAGACATTTATTATTATATATTTATTTTTTTTGGCTGCCCAGTTCCAGTGAGCTCATAGCATTAGCACTAAGACTTATATACTGCTTCACAGCGTTTTACTCTCTGAGCGGTTTACAGAGTCAGCATATTGCCCCCAACAATCTGGGTCCTCATTTTACCAACCTTGGAAAGGTGGAAGGCTGAGTCAACCTTGAGCCGATGAGACTCGAACTACTGAACTGCTGGCAGCCGGTGGTCAGAAGTAGAAGTAGCCTGCAGTACTGCAATCTAACCACTGAGCCACCACAGGTCTTATATTGTGCTTATAGATGCTGAGAAATATTATAATTCATAGATGTTACCATAATAGGAAACAAGGCCCTTCATGTCAGGACCCTCGGCCCACGTCTTCAATGCCTTCTGAGCATTGTCTTCTAAGAGGCATTTCCAGGGAAGCAATAGTGGAAGTGAAAACAACTTCAGTTTTAATGGCACCAGTAGCCATAGTGGAAAGTGGAACCAGTGAATGAATTGGCTCCCCGAACTCTTCTCCAGATTAAGGAGAAGATTTGGAATTTCCCAGTGCTTCTAACAGATGTTGTTTACAACAAAACCACATAACAGAGGTCTTGGTATGGTTTTAATGCTCTGGGAACTGGGAGAATTAGTCTCAGGTGTCCGTATGCCAGCTAAGCAAACTCGGAAACAAGGTTACTTGCTGCAGGTTTTACTGAGGCCGCAGTCCGGCACATACAAAATCAGCGCTGGGAGCTATTGCCTACCAGCGCTGTAAATAACTTTGAATTAAGATAGGCCTGCCCACGGCCCACTCCACCTCTGTAGCAAGCATCCAGCTGTGTGCATCCCTCCTTCCAGATCTCCTGGGCTACCCCTGCGCAACAGCAGTCGTTGGGTACTCAGCTCCAGGCAGCTAGAAAAGGCAGTTCACATTGCTTCGCCCATCAGCTGTGCCAGCTGCTCCGCCATCAGCGACAGTCAGCTGATGGAAACAGGGCACGCTGGCTCAAAGGAGCAGGCAGACATAAGGAGCACCTGGGACGCCAGCCACTGAAGCCACGCCGCTCCCGCAGCCATCATGCCGTCCCCGCAGCAGTTTCCCATCCCCCCAGGTATGGCAAGCCAGGGCTTGACTATTAGCTTTGCTAAAGTCGCAATTCAGAGCCATCAAAAAGATGCTGGGTTCACCCACTTCCTCCTCATAATAACCTATATTGGAAATGGTTTTATATATATATGGGGGGAGAGGGATACAATGGCTCAGTGGTTAAAGACACTGAGCTTGTTAGCTGGAAAGTTGACAGCCTGCTTTTGAGATGGAAAAAAAGGGCAGCTTATCCAAAAATACTGCTGTTTTTCCCAACACAAAACATAAGTTTCATCTGGGTTGAGAAAAAACAGATGCAACATTTTCTCCTGTTATAGCCAATTCCTGCACAGAAAAATAACAAAGGCAGGCTGCAAATTTACTTGAATTGCAGAAATAGTAAAATGACTTTGAAAGTGACACAATTTTCCGAGACAAGACATACACCTTTTTAAAAATTCCTACTTTTAGGTCACAGAAACTATCTTCTACTTTATATATTTTTTTCCTTCAGCGTTAGTCTGGGTTTTTCAAATACACTTTATTTTAGACTAGCTGTCTGAATATTCAGCTATTCTGATTCATTTCCTATGTACAGTAAGAGATTTTACAGAGCTGAAGCAAACATACAGGCTCTCTAATTGCTGAATAAACCTAGAAAAGAATCCATGTAAGAGCAAACCACTTCAGATGCATTTTGTTTATTTATTTATTTATTTATTTATTTATTTATTTATTTATTTATTTCAACTTGTATGCCGCCTTTCTCCGAAGACTCAAGGCGGCTATGTTACCTTGCATTGAACTGTCATCTGAACTAACAGTTGTCCTTTTACATGAACAGCTGTGAAAACATGGCTTTTAAGGGGTAAGATCATACCAACACTGATAGAAGAATTTGTTGATTGTAATTTTATAATGAATGGTTACTATTAATTTTAATCCTAGTTGTAATGCACTGTAAGCCACCAATTTTTTAGAAATGAAATAGCATCTAAATGGAAGTCAATACAAAGATTTTATACACCTTGCTACTCCATTCACTTAGTGTCTAAGTGAAGCACATGCACTGCACAGTTGCTGAGACCACTGCCAACAAAAGCACTGACAGCGCTTTGCCAAAGTGAATATAAGACTGGTCAGCAGCCAAAAGAATGGAATTTATCCCAATATCAAAGAAAGGTGATACAAAACACTGTTCCAACCACTGAACCATAGCCTTGATACCACATGGGAGTAAAATTTTCTTGAATCCAACTGCCGACAAGAAACTGCCTGATATAGGAGCACGATTTTGGAAAGGAAGAGGAACACGTGATCATATTGCCAATCTATGTTGGATGATGGAAAAAGCACAGGAATACCAAAAAGCACTCTACATGTGCTTTATTGATTATACGAACGCCTTTGATTGTGTTGACCATGATAAGCTCTGGAACTGCCTCAAACAACTGAGAATGTCACACCACATCCAGCTCATTCAGTCATTGTACTCTGATCAGGCAGCCATTGTAAGAACGGAAGATGGAGACACAAAATGGCTCAAAATTGAAAAAGGCACACAAGGTTGCATCCTGACAACTATACTATTCAACTTTTACATAGAAATAGTTATGAGAAATGCACATTTAGAGGAATCTACCATTGGGGTTAAAATCGGTGGTTGGAGTATCAACCTCTGATATGTAGATGATACATTACTCACGGAAAACAAGGAGGATTTGAAGTGATTAATCGTGAGAGAGTAAAAGATAAAAAGTGAGAACACACAGGCCAGACTGTATAATGTATTTTTTTCTTTAGTTTTATTACAATATCAAATTTCCCTACCCAATGAAACTATTTTAGATGTATACAAAATATTGGAGAACAATGGAAAGGGACTGTGATCCTTTGTGTATGAGTGACATGTTTTATTAGTGTTTTTATTGATTTTATTATGAGCCTCCTAAGATTGTTCTATTTAAAACAGGTAGCTGTATGAGTTTAATAAATAAATAAATTTTAAATTAAGCAGAAATAAAGTTATAATTGCTATTTTTTAATTTGCAATTTACTCATATACTCATATTGTGGCAAAGAAATTTGTACTTGATTTAGGAAAAGCTGCAGAAATCTTTTTTTTCCATACACAGCTGTCAGACGTTAGAGGGAACATTGCTAAGTGACATCTTCCAGACACACAAATGCTCCTTAATTTACCATCACCCTGAAATCTCAGCTCTTCCATTTTAATTCTGTAGATAAAAGCAAAGTTCCCTTTGTTTGTCCATAGACGTGTTCTTCATATTAGGCCTTTTGAGGGTGGTTGGTTTCTGTGCATATTTTTCTAAACACAGCGTTTTCATTTGCATTAAAAGTTATGCTGTAGAAAGTCTTTATTGACAACTTGTAAGACCTACAGCTTCACCTAAAGAATACAATAAATAAACCATATACAAAATCGCTGTCTCTTCCTGGTTATGACCAACCCCATAAATTAGAAAAATCAGGATGTCAGGCCTGCCACTGTCTCCAGAACTGTCTTCAAGAGCGAGACAAATGCCTGCAGGGCTTCTAGCTTGTTTTCAGTCTGTTTCACTAACATCTGCATCTCTGCACCTCCTGCCTCCAGCTGCAGCTCAGTTAGGAAAAGGCAGCCTGTGTTATCCTGTGCCCCTAGGTAGACTTTCCATGACTGTGAACCAGGCTTGCTCACTGCAATAGTCTGAATATGGACCATCTGCAGGGCAGCCTGCAAAGTCTCTGGTTGCACGGATTCCTGCCAAGGAATGGCTTGCTGGCAGCCAACAGCCAGGTTTAGCCACGTCCTCTCAAACTGCTCTGCAGTCAGACATAGACTAGATATTAAGGTGAGGCTACTGGAACTGGCATTAGGAACAGGGTCCTTCTCCTTCTTTTCCAACATCAGCGGCACTGAAAAAGAAAGAAAGGCCATAATATTTACTTATTATTTATTACATACATTTGCGTACCATCAAATCATCTGACTCACAGAGGTATGCAGCAATAACATCTATTAAAACATAACACTAAACTCATCTTTCTAATCCTCTGTATAAAATGCATCGTACATTAAAATCAAAATCAAGATTCAAACTTTAATCATAAAAGCTACCCAGATCCACCATTAGTTTCCAAAGATTATCTGAATAAACTAATGTTGACAACTTTGCAAATACCCAGTATCTCAGGAGGTCGGCTATTCCATACTGTTAGGGCCATGAATGAAACATATCATAAGAACATAAGCAGTGTCTCCTGGATTGGATCCTTGCCCCATTTAATCTGACAATATGTTCTCAGAGTGACCAACTAACTGCATAAGGAAGACCATTAGTCTCCTAGTAGATGTCTATATTCTTTCTCTGGGTCCACATTCTTGTTTCTTACGTAAGAAGGAGAGTCTTAATTATATCTACAGGTAGGCCTTGACTTCCAACCTCAATGCAGACTAAAATTTCTATCATGAATCATTGCGGTCCTAAATCAAGCGGGACCCGATTTTATAACAATTTTTACAATGGTCATTAAGTAAATAACATGGTGGTTAAGTAAATCCTGATTCTCTAATGTATGTTATTTGGTGGAAATCTGTAAAAATGGTTGTAAATCTTGTTCATGTGACTGCAGGATGCTGCAATTAGTTTTAAATGCAAGCTGGTTGCCAAGCACTTGAATTGTGATTTTGTGACTGTAGGGATAGGAATCTGAATCTGAATCTGAATCCCTAAATACATAAGGGTGTCTAGTCCAAGAAGGAGTGTAATTACCACAACAGTCAAAGCTGAGTAAAGGCTCTTCTGCCATGGTCTTGACCAGCTGCTCTAATGCAGGAGAACCCTGATTCAAGGACCTCCAGAGGAAATGCAATTTTGCACAAAATCAACCATGAAGTGACATCAAGCTAGATTGTTTGCATAAGAACATTAGGTCTCTTTTGCTGGGAGTCTGAGTCTGTTTTGTCAAATCCAGTCCTTCACAACTTCCAGAAACTGAAAAAGGACCTCTATTGCATCTCTTCAGGTGACAATATAGAGCTGAGCAACAGCAGCATATGATGATGTCTTACCTCAAACTAAAAGATGGATCAGTTTCATATAGTTAAATAATATGGAAGAGAGAGAGCCAAGTTCTGTGGAACTTCGCAGTAGAGAAATTACTATTAACAGTATAAGCTGTTAATAGTAATACTATATGCTGTTCTTATCATGAACATGAACATTGCAATAAAAAACTTTACGAAGCGAAGAATAACTTGTCAATCAGATGTCCCAAAGATGCTTTTTTTCAAGAGGCTGATTGGAGCTGAAGAAGCTTCTTGGATGAGAAGCGAAATATCTTCAAAGAAAAACCAGAAAGTCCAGTTGCCTCTTGAGAAAAGCACCTTTGGGACAACCATGACCCGGATGACTGAGAATTTCCATGAACTAATATCTATTTTTTTTTCAATGAATACTCTGGCTATCCTTATTAGGATAAGTGAGCACAGGAAGAATAGGAAAGTAACTAAAATCTACATGTGTCTCTTACCTTTGCCTTCTCTTTTGGAATCATCTGTGCTGGAGTCTGCACAGTGGAGATCAACTACTCGACTAGCTGTCATAGCTGCCCATTGATCTTTGCCATAGATGGGCACCAAGGAATTAAAGTCATGGACCCATTCGTTAATGGAACTTTCAGTCTGCTCTTCTAAAAGGCGGAGAGAACGATCCGATGTTGGACTGCATAGAATTCCTTTTGTTTCTTCCACACCAGCTTGTAATAGGCGATAGTAAAATAATGCACGGTCCCGAACTGCCATGTCTTTTTCCTCCTCTGGATCACAGACACAAACATTTGGCAACAACAACAAAAATAAGCACTTGGCTTTTAGTACTGCATTCCAAGAGGTCTCTCCCAATCCTTCCCTCTTTCCTTTAGAACCTGTTAAGATATCTGACACTAGCAGTACAGACAGAATAGAAAAATACTTGTGACAAAATAGTTTGAGATTTGGTTAGAAAATCTGTCTGTCTGTCGGTCTGTCTATCTTTGCATATGCCTTTCAACAGTAACTGTAACTGTTGTCGTTCATCTAATTCACGATACAGCAACCACCATAGAAGTAACAGACTTACCAATGCAGTAATAAAGTAATCGCCCCAGGGTATCCTGACATTCAGCGGGACGTGCTATGAAGAGCCGGGCCACAGCCGTCAGTAGTTCCAGCTTGACAACTGAGAATGGTTCTGATTTTACATTCTCCACAAAATCTTCTAATATATAAGGGGCATTGGGAATTCTTTCTCCATGTACACCCAGAAGCCAGATTAATGCTTGCTTTCCCTAAAAAATTAAACCATTAAAACATTTCGCATTCAGTACTGTTGAGAACACTTCACATACAAAGCCTCCATGTTAAGGAGGTACATGTTACCGGTAGTCCTTAACTTACAAGAGTTTGTTTAGTGACCGTTCAAAGTTACAACGGCACTGAAAAAAATTACTTATGACCATTTTTCAGTTACAATTTTTGAAGCAACCCCATGATCACGTGGTTAAAATTCAGATGCTTGGCAACTGGTTCATATTTATGACATGAGAGTTGCTGTGTTCCAAGGTCATGTGATCACCTTTTGCAACCTTCTGACAAGCAAAGTCAATGGGGAAGCCAGATTCACTTAACAACCAGGTTACTAACTTATCAACTGCAGTAATTCACTTAACAACTGGTAGGGACAGTTGTAAAATGGGGCAAAACTCAGTTAACAAATGTCTTACTTAACAACAAATTTTGGGCTCAGTTGTGGTTGTACTTTGAGGACTACCTGTATTTGAGCAAATAGGAACAGAAAACATGTTGAAATAAATTCTGAGGCTGCTGCACCATGTGCCTGCTTCATAATTAAAATCTTAGGATCGGTACCAATTTAATTTGGAGAAACAATATTATAAAACACTACTTGTACTTTGTCATGTGAGTTAAAACTCTAAGAATTTTAGTACTCATAATCTTGAATTTTTCAAGGATTAGAACATAGAATAATAGGAGTGCAAGTCATCTTGTAGGTCTTCTATCCAATCTCCTGATTGAACAGGAGACTCCATACATTTTGGACAAATGTCTAATCTCTTCTTGAAAACCTCCGGTGTTAGAGCACCCATAACTTCGGGAGGCAAATTGTTCCACTGATTAATTGTTTCCATTGTTAGGAAATTTGTCCTAAATTCTGGGTTGGATCTCTTTAATAATCTTCCTATTATGGTTTTATTTTATTTTGTGAGATTATGCCAATACTAGCAAAGATTTTTGTTACAGCCATATTCCATAATATCCAAGGCTACTAATTTTACATTTCTGTGATTAAAAATTGGTAAGATAACAAATTATTTAACTTTTTTTGCTTTTGGGAAGGCAAGATTAAAATAGAATAAGGGGTAGAAAAATAAAATTTTTATGCAGGTGTATCTTCAGATCCTCCTAAACTAAATGATTTTATGATTGCTTACGCTAACAACTCACTTATATACAATAAAAGTATGCTCTTTTTTTTAAACTTTCAGACTCAATTTTAGATTTCATCAACAGAATAGAAGAGAGGCAGATACAATTATAAAATGCATTATATTACAGCTGGAGGCTGCTATACCAGAAATGAGGGTTTCATACAGAACTCTAGATTACAAGATGCATTTTTTGCTTCTGGAACTGGACTCAAGGGTTTTGAGTCATTTGATTTACAAAAAGCATTTTCTGTTACCTCACTGTCCTGGATGATCTCTTCACAGCCAGACAAAGGCTGGGCCACACACTCTATACACTGTGGACACAACCATACTAGATCTCGGAACACCTGTACTACAGCTGTAGGGAAATAGATAACAATATATTTATAGTATAACACTTTTTGCTCAAAATGATAACATCTTAACACCATCAAAACCCGAGTGGAGTAAGCTTCAGATTAAGGAATAGTTAAAATAGAATTTTCAGCTAATAAAATTAAAATGCAATAAAATCCTAGCAAAATGTATTTTCACTATTTACCTAAAATACAATAAAATGCTAGACCTGCCTCAGAAGGAAGACCCGTGATTAGGGTGCTGCCACTAAAACGGCTATGTCTGATTCCCTGACCATCACCGAAGGCGAAACGGTGATTGAGGAGATGGCATAGCTGATAGAGAGGATCATGCACAAGGAAAAAGGTCTCCCATTATTCTAAATAATAAATAAATAAATAACTTTATTGTCATTGTACGTGTATACACAGTATACCCATACAATGAAATTCACTTAACACCCAAAGACCAAAGACACATAATAATCCCCAAACACACTCCCACCCACCACAATTCCCCACCCCTAAACCACCCAAACATTCACACAACAGACCAAGTAATACTGTCCAACAGCTCACTGATGGTGGCCCTTTAGTTCATTGTTGAATGCAATTATAGCTCTGGGATAAAAACTATTCAGAAAACGTGTGGTTCGAGTTTTAATTGTTCTGTATCTTCTGCCAGAAGGCAACAGTCCTAAAAAAATTGTAAGCAGGATGGGAAGAGTCTCTGAGAATGTTATGCAACTTTCTCAAACAGCGAGATTCGAAGATGTAGTCCAGGGCTGGTAGCTGGAGTCCGATGATATTCTGGGCAGTTTTAATGGTTCTCTGTAGAGCTTTTTTGTCCGCTACAGAGCTGCTCCCCTACCATGCAAGAATGCCATGTCAGGACACTCTCAATGGTGCTGTGATAGTAGGACAGAAGTAGATGCTGAGGTAGATTTATCTTCCTGAGCATTCTCAGGAAGTACAGCCTCTTCTGTGCCTTCTTCACAAGCATGTTAGCATTCATAGTCCATGAGAGGTCCTCCGAGATATAAATGCCCAGAAATTTAAAACCAACCACCCTCTCCACCTCCTCATCATTTATGTACAATGGTAGATATACATCTCTCTCCCTCCTGAAGTCAATTATAAGTTCTTTAGTTTTTGTGGTGTTAAGTGTGAAATTTTCATTATACCACAATGTCAGCCCTTGTACTTCCTTCCTGTAAGCAGACTCATTATTAATGATCCCCACCACTGTTGTGTCATCCGCAAATTTAATAATTGCGTTGGTGTTATACAATGGGGTGCAGTCATGCGTGTACAGGGAATAAAGGAAAGGGCTTAGCACACAACCCTGGCGGGCTCCTGTGCTTAGTATCAGAGAAGAGGAATGGTGAGATCCCATCCTTATGTGAAGTTACATGGAGAATTCTAAGTGATACCAATACCCTGAATTGCTTTCAGAGTTGAAATGGAAGCCCATGGTATTTTAAAACAGGTAGCATAGGAAAAAAATGGCAGGTTACATCTTTGCAGCACCGCTAGTTAAGAACAGCTTTCTAGGCAGCCTCATAGAAAATAAATAGCAGGAACCGAATCTGGGTGGAACTAAGGCATATGATCTGGGGCCAGATCTGCTCTCTCCAAGAATAGACAGCTAGATATGTAAAACACTCTTAGCACTGAGCAATCACTTGGTCATCCAGGAACTATGACAAATTGAGGAGACTCCCAAAGATGCAAATTCTTCTAGAATAGATTTCTTTTCCCATTTGGAAAGTCTATTTTTACCGAGCAACATTTCTAGCTTCTATTGATTAAGTTTCTCTTACCAATTCAGAGTTGTGGGGGGTGGGGACGGAGTCAAAATGAGCGAAGTTACTTTAAAAAATCTTAAAAGCATCAGTGGTTTAAACATGAATACCTGGTGTATTAGCATCCCACATGATTTGGGGCAGTGTCTCAAGTGAGGAAATGGAAGATTTATGTCATTTAAAAATAGCAATTACTATGGACTGTGCTTTTCAGATTTAAAGACAAAAAAAATATGATTTGAAATAACTATCAGTGTCCTTGCCACACCTGTTGAAGTTCTTTAATTAAGAAAGTGATAAGAGTGTTCCACACCCACATCTTGTCCTCATTGCAAATTATTTATTTTCTTGGCCTCTATGTGATCCAGGAAAATAGGCAGTTTCTTTAAGGAGGCACCAACTGGTACCATGTATTTGCCCCTACTCACTTGGAAGCAACTTTTGGATTTCTTCTATATTTAGAAGAAATTATGTCGCATCTGATCGAAGAGGCTAAATCTTACAATGGTGCAAATCAAATATGAACCAGAAAATCAGGAATAATACCTGATGTTATATGTTCTTGCTTCAGCTCAAGGAGTTCTGTTAGAATCCTCACACACTGATCTGAGTAGGTTCTTGCAATATTTCCTAAAAAATAACAACAATAACAAAACAACAACAAAATATCACACATATGACCCAAAGTTCTCAAGATTGCTTAATACTGTAATTCCTTAACCTGGAAAGAGTGATCCAGCAATACACAGATATTTCTAATAGTAGTTCTCAGTGAAACCTAATCTTATGCAAAATGGGACAAAATGGAACAGTTTTGGGAACAGTAATATTAAAGATAAGACTATTCTAGGCAGGTTATTGGACCACTTAAGGAAGAGAACATGAATAACTTTCATAAGTTAAGCAATAATACAGCAAATTGATAACCAACATTCAATGTAACTGAATGAAATGAACTTCTCTCTGAGACATTAGATTTAATCCCACCTTTAGTTTTACAATTCAATGCAATAGGATATCAAATGACTCCAAAATTTAAGAAAACTTAAGAGTGCAGTAAAAAAAAGCTTTCTTAAGAAAAGTTCTTAAATTTTGGAGTCATTTGATATGAAATAAAGACTAAAGCTGCTACGCTCTTAAAATGCAGTGGAATTTACTTTCGAGCAAACATACTTTCTTAGTTATTATGAGTGTAGTAACCTGTGTTTTCAGAAATATCTCAGCTGGCAGGGATCATAGCAAACATATTCAAAAGTCTGGCCTAACTTTGAATTGCTTCGTTTTCTAGTTTGACCATACTTTGCTTCTGCCTTTGAAGCATATTTTTTGTTCTGGAAAAGATTGTTCTATCCACACTTATAAAGACAGTCATATTCTTTTCTATCCCAAAAAAATACTAGCAAATGCAGAATTCGCAATATAATTGCAGGGGAGAGGAGTGTTGTGTTATATTTGTTTACATAGAGATTACAACTTTGGTATACATGTATTTCCCTGCTGGAGGTTTTGCATTAGAATACTAGCAGTCCACTTACCTATAGCAAATATTGCTGCCCGGGCAAGCTCTGCTGACACATCAGTGCAGTAGTCTCTCAGTTCCTCCAATATATGCTGAACATTTTCATCATTCACCAACTTGCACAGCACTTCCATTTTCTGGCACTTGATATAATGTGGTTCCGAGTAAGAACAGAAGAACTTCTTATATTGGCTACTGAAATGGCCAGGAAGGCTGTCTATTATCTGGCGCACGTGACACAAAGCAGTGAAACAGAGTTCTCTACTCCCAGATGTGCATGCTGTTAGGAGTGGACCTTTAACTCTTACAAGCACATCTGCCTGGACATGTGGGAAGTCTCTAGCCAGCACCAAGAAGAGTTTTGTGGCAGCCATCACTACACTGGAACTGCTGTTTTTAAGGTATCCATCGAGTAAATTCAGGATATCAAAAAGCTCTTCTTCACAGCGGGGTTTGTATCGTAGCAGAAAAGTCAACACCTCACTCTGCCCCCACTGATCTAGATCTGGCATCCTGCAAAGAGGAAAAAACCAACACAAATGGTGATGCAGTGAAACTATAGCTTCGCTCTCCCAATCTGCAAGCCACTTTTTCCATTATTTCATCAATATTAAACTTAAATATATGAATCAGCAACATGAAATGGAGGGATATGACCAAATACTACGACAATATACTTTAAGTAAATTTTTACTTAGCCCTCGACATACAGATATTTCAAAATTTTAAAGAATAATACAAATATATATTTGAATGACAGATCATCTCCCTTAAGCATAAAAGCTGGCAGAATGACTTTGGGCCACTTAGTCTCCTTCAATCCAACCCACCAAACTTTGTGGGAAAATTAGGGGGCAGGAACATGGGGTGCATTAACGTTCTCAAATAGATACATAGATTTTTGTCATCTGTTTGATCGTGTCCAATAGATATAAATAAAAAATGGGATAAATGTATTAATAACAATAATATCATATTTGCTATGTATGTCCCTATAAATCAGATGAGCAATCATATATTATCTGTGAGCACTGGGTTTACAAGCTGACTGATAATTTTATTTAAACTGTATATAATCGCAAAGGGTCTTTTATATTAATACTCAAATGCTTTAAAGCCAGAACTAGTAAACAATTCTGCAGAGCAAGTAATTATTTCAGCTGCCACCATGTAAAAATGAAAGACTATGTTACATCACACTATATCTGAAGGTCTTTTCAATGGTGGATTCCAACTTAGGCACTTCCTGCTGAGAGAAGTTGCCTTCTTGTCAGTAGGTTATTTCTGTTCAAGCAGCTGTTTACTATTTAGCTGCTCTGTCAATCTCTTGAAATAAGACTTCACTATTTTGGTATTCTCCCACAAAATTATTTTTGATTAATTCATGGTGTATTTTAATTAAATGTTTTTATTTATTTATTTATTTTATTATTGTTAGCTGCAATGATTGCTTTTTTTGGCAAAAAGGTAGGTTATAAATGCAATAAATTAATACAGAAAATATTAGCATTAATTTGACAAGCATATGGTTTTCACAATTCAAAACACAAAGGATAGTGGAGAACAATACCTCTAGTTTACTCAAGAATTTTGGAGGGGAATGTACCTATTAAGAAGATGGTGGGCAATGGGTTTGTTGATGACAACTCCTCCTTCATGTGCCAGAATTTCCTCAAGAGCCCTCAGACAATTTACCACCACGATAGGATCCTGATCCCGAAGCAAACTATATAACTCATTAACTAGTGCACCATCTGCAGAAAGCACAACAGAAAGGAAGTCAGAAATACTTCTCTTTTCATCGGCAATAAAATGCTGCTTTTAACAGGATGTATACAAACATAAACAATTATTATTTAATGAAAACAATCTGGATGTTCCTCACACTGTTGTTGGTTAAAAGAGCTGGGTCTTCATCCAGACCTTTGGTGAGGAAGAATGAGACCCCTCACTTCACTGAGTGCCTTATTTTATCTTTCTTTTATTGATCTTATTGTAGTTTATTGGATTGTTTAAGGAACCCAGAATTTCAGGCAAGTTTATAAATAACAAATATGAGATTGCTGAGAAGAATTTCTAGCAAATAATTATGGAGCAAGGTAGGAAGAATTGTATCCAGCAGAATGTGTCTTCTGTGAAGGGGAGATCACCACACCCTACACACAAAGTAGAACTGTTACAACATTCATGACTAACTTTCTCTTTATAGCATCAAAACTATATGCCACACATTTATTCTAATATGAAAGGAGAGGTGGGATTGAAAAAAGAATGGAAAAAATGTGTTTATTTACCCACTTCACAGTCTCCTTGGAGTTTCTGCATCTTTGCACAACCAAGAACAGCTACTCTCCTTACATAAGAAGCTTTGTCTCGTAGACCATTCAGGATTGGCTGCTGAATATATTCTTGTATGCCAGGCATCCTAGGAACATTGTAGGCAATCAATCTATAAATTCTCATAAAACACTAAATTGATGCCCTCAATACTTTCAATAAAATATTATTAAATAGCTGCATTAGGCTCCAAAGATCTGATAGCAAAAGAACAGTCTACATAATTCAAGGGAAATTCAGTCTTGGCCAGCAAAACAGAAAGCTCTTTAAATGTGTCCCAGAACTAGGAGGGAAGTGCTATTTGTAGTGATGTCTTACTGATAAGAGTTAGATTCAAGAAAAAAGAACTGAAAGCTCCTAGTTCAGGTCATGAGTTATTGACCCCTGTATTTGAGTGTATTACACAATATACCCTTCTCTCATATGTGATGACTGTGAAGGTCAGAGTAAGCAGTACATTTTCTTACCTCAGACTGCACATGCTGCGCAGGGCCAGACCTCTAACCATAGGGTTGGGGTCTGAACAGTCTTTGCACAGAGTATTGATAGCTAAAAGAGCTAGATCAGGCTTCAAGGGAGCGTATGTACACATATACAAGTACACTAGTTTCTTCTGAACAATGTCTATGGTAGCACTAGCTTTAACCATCTCCATAAAAACACTGGACACATCTACACCTTGGGTCATATGCCTGCAAGAAAAAGATCAGAAAAATGTAGATACAGCAACGGAGATGTCATATTAATCTACCTGAAAACCCAAAATATTGTATGACTTTTTAATTATTATAGTCAATACATATATCATAACAAGTTGTCACCCAGAATGTGTATATATCTGTGCTAATACATTCAAAGTTTTATTTGTATTCCACCTCAGTGCAGTAGGTTAACTGCAAACAGTCAAATTAAGTTCTGCACCACAAAACCTAAATTCTTCACCTGGAGCATTTTATGCTTACTTTTGACTACATATTACATTCTTGACATACTTTATTTCACTGTGATCCTACATTTTCCAAAGTATCAGAAAAGATAAATCAAGAAATATGAAATATAAATGTGTCAATTTATATACATTATTAAGCCTAGCTATTCAACACCAGGTCAAATAAGAACATTTCAACAGTTCTCTTAGAAAGCATTATTAGATGCAGTTTTGATAGAAGAATGTAAGGAGAAGATTGTATATCCATAATAATATGATGTTTACCTAATACTTTTTATACTTTGCAATATATTGACAACAATTAATAAAATTTGACAAACCAGAAGGAAAATTAAATAGGATTTTCAATTAACGAGAGCATGTTTCAAATGTCTTGGATATTTCTTTGACCTGTTTAAGAAAGTTTTTTTAAGTAACATTTGCCAAAAATGAAAATTATATATGAATTTTCATGTACAGATTATAAGATTAAATTATTTAACAGTTTAACAGAGTTGGAAGGTACCTTGTAGGTCATCTAATCCAACCCCCCGCCCAAGCAGGAGACCCTACACCATTTCTAACAAATGGCAGTCCAATCTCTTCTTGAAAGCCTCCAGTGATGACGCTCCCAAAACTTCCGAAGGCAACTTCTGTTCCATTGGCTGATTGTTCTCACTGTCAGAAAATTTCTCCTTATTTCTAGGTTGAATCTCTCCTTGATCAGTTTCCATCCATTATTCCTTGTCTGGCCTTCAGGTGCCTTGGAAAATAGCTTGATCCCAATTTTATTTATAATTGGCTAAGATCCACAGCACTAGGACTTTGCACGCTAATGTTCTGCACTCTTGAAAAGTAAATTAACCTATTGAGATGTACCAGACTTTTCTCAAAAGGATTGCAAAATGAAATTCAAAAATATGATAACGGAAGGATATTCTTGTCAATGGTTTTCTTATATACAATTAAGAGAAAGGTTTAAAGTGGATAAAATACATAATGGTTTGAACAAAGTAAAACTGAGTTTAAAATAGAATTATACACTAATGATAAACATATTATTATTAAAATGTATAAACATTATATATTGTTTTATTTATTAGCTTTAAACTTTCCTGATAGTTAATTTTGTTACAATATTATATAAACAACTATCGAAAACAATTTTTGCATATATCAATTTAAAAACTTTCAGCATTTCGGAAGACCAATTATAATTGACAAAATACAAGAAAACTGTAGCATAACACAAGCATCTCAGCACAGACCTGATCACTCGTTGGATAACATTCCTATAGCGAAGATGGTCAGTTTGCACATGAGGGTTGGACAGGGCTCTCTTCAGCTCCTTCACTGTATCCTCTGAACCAAAGTATGGCATTGTTGAGATTCTAAACCCTTTGGCAGTACCGCTTGTTGAAGAACCTAGGATAGCAGTCACAAAGGTAGATGCGGTCATAGAAAGAAAACTGAGCATATCATTTGTATTCCATTCTGCCCCTTTCAATCTCTTGTTTTATCTTTTCTTACAACAGAGATTTATTGCCTTTATTATGTTTACCAAATAACTCTTGGTGACAAAAATTTCCAACACACTTTCCTCCTCCTATTTCCCCCACAAAAACAACAAACCTATGAGGTTGATTGGGTTGAGGGTGACTGGCCCAAAGTCACCCAACTGAGTGACTTAGACATTTCATGGCTAAGGTGGAACTTTAACTCACAACCTCCTGCTTTCTAGTCTGATGCCTTAACCATTAGACCAAACTGGCTCTCAATTTGACAGTAACAAGCATGGCATTTTAGCATGCAACAAGCTGACAAGTCTCTGTTCCAAGGAGCTTACAGCAATTAGAATACAGTAAATATAAGAGCTATAATAGAAAGGCAAGAAAACAATAAGACAAGAATAGCAGCATGTAACAAATAACTAATTACACTTAGTTTATCGAAGAGTAGCTATGTTAGACTTTATTGTACTGTAAAAACAATAAAATATATAAACAAAACCAAACTAACAAATTATCACTTTTTGGCAAATCACTTTTCATCAGATGAATAGTTCCGAGAAAGAGGTATTAAATCCATAAGTAGGTGATACTTCACAGGTAGTTCTTGACTTACAACCATTTGTTTATTGACTGTTCAAAGTTACAGCAGCACTGAAAAAAGTGATTTATAACCGGTCCTTGCACTTACGACTCTAGCAGCATCCCCACAGTCACATGAACAAAATTTGGGCCCTTGACAACATGTACTGTAAGCTATTAAATTCAGGGAACACTTCATGATATAAGATACTGCTGGTAGGTACAAAGTTAGGAAGGAAGGAAGGAAAGGAAGGAAAGGAAGGAAGGAAGGAAGGAAGGAAGGAAGGAGGAAGGAAGGAAGGAAGGAAGGAAGGAAGGAAGGAAGGAAGGAAAGAAGGAAGGAAGGAAGGAAGGAAGGAAAACTTATCTGCCACAACAAAAATGAGGGTTGTATAATGAACACAGTCATTGTATACCATTGTTGGTATGAAACTACATTTAATCTTAAACACAGGAAAGAAGCTGATTTCCTTGCTCTGAAAACACAAATATTTTAAACCCCAATTTATTATTTGTTTATGATGATGCCCACCAATGCTTTGGTCTGACAGAAAACAAAAACCGAAGCATTACAACCTCTATATAACCAGGCAACTAGAGAATAAATGGAGTGAATGCCCTCGAAAGTCCAATTTTGCAATTTACCGCCTTCGAAGGGAAGCAAGTTCTGGGAAATACAGAGCTCTAAGTGGAGGAAGACAACACTCATGAAAATCTTTTAAAAGCTGTAATACAATTTTTCGTTCCTCAAATTCAATGACAGCCGGCAATACAATGCAGGGCAGTTCATTTGTTTGGCAGTCCCATAAAGGTTTACATTATCTTAATCGTAAAACATTTCCGGGGCTTTTTAGCTTAATATCCCGGTGCACTAAGGAAGAGGGAGGATCAGAAAGCAGAAAAAACCTCAGATATGCTGTAGGGTCCCAATACTCAATAGTAGCAGGAAGTATCGTTATATGAATTATTATTGATCTACAGCGGAGTACACGGTAAGGTTATCCCGAACAGCCGCAGCCTCCTCTCTTTTTTTTACCGCCCCCCTTTTGCAATGCAAAAGAATCCTGGTTTCCTCCCATGACAAACACTACGCAGGCTTTGCTGCTACCTTTTGCTTGAGAAAGTAAAGGTTGCTGTTGCCTAGTCACAGTTCCGCAAAAATCCTGGATTTTTCTACTGTTTTCTTATTTTCTGTCTCTTTAACAGTCTTCTCAGAGAAAAAAAAAAAGAGGCTTCAAGGTATCCTGGAAGTTTCGTCTTCCGACCATGGAATTAGATATCCATCACAAGTTTTGCACGCCTATTGGCCGAGTAGCTTTAAAATGTATGGCCTTCAACTGAGGAATTCTGGGAGTTGAAGTCCACACATCTTAAAGCTACCAAGAAACACCGGCCGAGGGCTCACGACGGGAACCGTCACATTATGACTCTACTGCGCATGAGCTTCCCGACAGGTCGATCATGGGCATGCGTTTAGCGTCTTGGTTGGCTCTCAATTTTTTCTTCTCCGGAGAGTGCCGCGCATGCTCGTTTGTCCCGATGTCTTATGGGTGAGCGGGTGTTTGGATTCTTTCGTTCTTTGGCGGGAAAAGCTAGTAGTACATGTGAAATACATTTGAAAAGTGACAGTAACAGAGTTGGAAGGGACCTTGGAGGTCATCCAATCCAACCTTCCTGCTCACGCAAGAGTCCTACAAAGAGCTCTCTAATACCCCCGATCGGGACGCTCCCCGGGTAGACATTTTTGCATCTGGGAAAAGGAGAACCATCCATTTCTCTGCTGCCTTCTCTTTCCTGTGCTGCAAGTCTACGAGAGATCACAGTAAGCTTTCACGTTGCTCTCTGCAAAATGATTTCGGGAAGGGACGGGGGTGGTTTGAGCTCCCGAATAAACTTTTCTTTACAGTGCTCGCCGAGTCATGAAACAGCAGTGGTAAAGTGCCGGACCGCGGGAGCCGCAAACGTTTTCTGCGCTGGACCGCCTTCTCCTAAATCTCTAACTGGAATGCTAAAATGTCAAAAGGTTTAGCTTTCACACGACATTTAGGCCATTTTTCATTAAAAAGAACAACTTGAGGATCTCCTGGATGTCATCTCAAATACTACTAATAACTCATAGAAGAAGAATGCTGCAGGGAGAGAGCCAATCTGGTTTAGTTTAGTTTAAGATGACCACTAGTTGATGGTGAGTTCCAGTGCCACCTTGGGCCAGTCACCCTCTCTAGCCCTAGGAAGGAGACAAGGGCAAACCACTTCTGAAAAACCTCAAGAAAACTGCAGAACTATTTCAGAACTCTGGCTTGAAGGTATATGCACACAAAAATGTTGTAGAGTCCACAGTTATTACATTGCATTCCAGTAATAATCCTCAAATAATTGAAGAGTTATGTAACAATAGGGATCTGGAATAAGTGGGGAACATCTGGTATGTATTGCACAGATTGTGTCAATCTGTGAATGTGTCATGAAACACAGTAATTGAAGTCCTAAGTGCTAAGTAAGAAAGACAGCATATTATACTATATTGCTACATTAGGTAAAGGTTCCCCTTGCACATATGTGCTAGTCGTTCCAAACTCTAGGGGGCAGTGCTCATCTCCGTTTTAAAGCCGAAGAACCAGCGCTGTCCAAAGATGTCTCTGTTGTCATGTGGCCGGCATGACTGAATGCCAAAGGCACACGGAACACTTACCTTCCCACCAAAGGTGGTCCCTATTTTTCTACTTGCATTTTTTATGTGCTTTTGAACTGCTAGGTTGGCAGAAGCTGGGACAAGTAACAGGAGCGCACCCCGTTACACAGCACTAGGGATTCGAACTGCTGTACTGCCTACCTTTTGATTGACAAGCTCAGCGTCTTAGCCGCTGAGCCACCGCGTCCCTTCATTGCTACATTACCTTAAGCTAAATAAAGTTCTAAATAAAGTACATTACCTTAAGCTAAATAAAGTTCTTACTGCCAGTGGATATCAAAGTTTGGAATTTTACTGATGCATGAGTTCATCTTAACTTTTCTGCGTTTTTTTTTTAATATTCAAATTCATTGTTCTTATAGGAGCTGGAGTGATGAATGGGACTCTGATTGCAGGCACACCCATTGCGGTAGATTTTTGGAACATCAGGAAAGCTAGGCAGGCTCGCTTGTTCTTTCTTTCTCATATGCACAGTGACCACACTGTGGGGCTTTCCAGCACCTGGAACCAACCTGTTTATTGTTCGCCTGTTACAGGTCAAATTCTACATCTCAGGCTGAAGGTACTTAAGTACGTGTAATTGTTCTAATGTTTCTCTTAGCTTTTGTTCTCCTGGTGTTGCTGAAATAAACATTCTGACAAACCTATCTAGTGTTCATAATGCTGGAAAATGTACTTCAGCATCATTTAGCATGCTATTCATTTTCTTATCTTTTTGACAAAGTCTCACGCTGATTTTACTATGTCTTTGTTTGGATTCTAGGTAGCTAAGCAATGGATCTGTCCTTTGGAAGTGGGAGATAGCCATGTTGTGGCTTTGGATGATATTGGCAGAGAGACCATGACAGTGACCTTGATAGATGCTAACCATTGCCCTGGATCTGTCATGTTCCTTTTTGAAGGGTACTTTGGTGTCATCCTCTACACAGGTATGAACTTCCTTGTTTTTAAGAAGGAGGTGAAGCACATTTTAGATTGCAACTATGATTGTCCTTCCAGTAGAAGAGAGTGTTGCTGAGTGTTGAACTATAAAGTCCTTGTTGCTCTCAAGCTTGGTTGTTTGCTTGTACAGCAGCTTGCCCCTGCTAGTGTTGGTGGAGCTGTGGTTTTCTCCTTGATAGTTCTAAGGACGCTACATGATTTCCCCTTGTGGTATAAATTTGTCTGAATCATGACAATCATGTGTTCTCAGCTGCTTTTTTTGTTTTTTCCTCTTTGATGCTACCTGTAGAAGCAAGCTCTAAAAGTATGACCTCTGATTTCTCCAACAACAGAATTATATGGTATAATGTCTGAGGTACAGGCCTGGATGTAGAAGAAATTTTAAATCCACTTTGTATCAATACATATTCAGTAGTTAGCTGAAAACTAGTAAAGTATTTTACCAGTAATTTTACAAGACTCAATGAAATATGAATTTCACATTGAAAAACAGTTTAGAAGATTTACAACATTGCTTCCTTCTAGAATAACTAAAAATATGTATTCTTAATTAATTTAGGTTTTTGCTTCCCAGGAACATTTTCCCCTGACAGTCCCATTATATCTGTGTCTTATCAGGTGATTTTCGTTACACTCCTAACATGCAGCAAGATCCAGTTCTAAGGAACTCAAAGTTTATCAATTTCCTCTATCTGGATAATACTAATTGTCGCCCTGAAATTATCTTACCATCCCAGGAACAGGCCATTGAGCAAATTAAAAAGTTGATTAGGGACCATCCTGATCATCAGGTGAAGATTGGTAAGAAGATCTAATTTTTCAGACCTAATTGAATGGAAAGAAGTCATGGAGCTTGTTCTTTGATATGAGAATCCTTACGTTTTAAGTGTGAAAATTTGTCGTTTATCTATATTTGCTGCTGCTGACGTATGCTGGCTAGCCTGCAACTCTGTGTCCCTATTGGAGGACAGCAGTTTTTCTTCTTGCTTCCTCATCCTAGCTGCTTGGCTGCATGTTACAGGCCCAGCTTTCTCAGATTCTCTATTATTATCTGTCTGCTGTAGAGGGGAAAGGATTCTGGTAGGCATCACAGCACCCTTGATTGTTAGTTGAGATCTCAGCCTGTCTTCTGGCTCCGATCCTCTCTCTCTCCTTATTGCTAGCCACCCTCTGCAGAGCGGGAAGAATTCTGGCAGGCCTTGCAACACCACTGGTTGCTTGTTGGAATCTCTGCCTCTCTTCTGATGTTTCTCTCAGTGCAGTGCAGGTCCCCAAATACTTGATAACCTAGAGGCGTCGTCTCGTCTCGTCGTGTCATCCTGAAAGGATGATAGTATAACCATACTGCCTGCAGACAAAGGCAATGCTATGGTGATAATGAATACGGTAGATTATGACAAAAAGTTACTTGAGCTCCTCCAAGACGTTACTTACAAACCCCTAAGCACTGACCCAACCACATATTTAGAAAAAACTACCAAAGCCAAGATAAAGGCCAGTCCCATAGATAAAGAAGTTCAACAAACAATCATTCCCAGAGAGAAGTCATCGAAATGTCCAAAACTATATGGCCTCCCAAAAATACATAAAGAGGGCATACCCCTCAGACCTATAGTCAGCTCTATAGGCTCTCCGCTACAAAACTTGGCTAGATACTTAGCCAAACAATTACAACCATTTGCAGAATCGATTGATTCCTATGTGCAGAACTCATATCATCTCATAGAAATTCTGAGAAACCAACGCATAGGGCAGGGTGACCTACTTGTAAGCTTCGATGTGGTCTCATTATTCACCCAAGTACCCGTTACAGAAGCTCTAGCAACGATCAAAAACAAATACCAGCCACCAAACCACATCATAGAATTGGCAGAGCATTGCCTATCTAACACCTACTTCATGTACGGAGGGCAAAGATATAAACAAATGCAAGGGGCACCAATGAGGTCACCGCTCTCCCCAGTTATTGCCAATCTGTTCATGGAAGGATTTGAAATTAAAGCATTGGAACAAACTATCTATAAACCAAAATTATGGCTCAGATATGTAGATGATACGTTTGTCATCTGGCCTCATGGAAAAACAAGCTAGACAATTTTCTAGCACACTTGAATAACATGCACCCGAAGATAAAGTTCACTATGGAAATGGAGAATGAAAATCAACTCCCATTCCTAGATGTACTAATATATAAGAGAACTGATGGCACCCTAGGACACAGTATTTACCAAAAGAAGACACATACAAATCGTTACCTGAACGCACACTTACACCATCATCCCTCACAAATAAGTTCAGTGGCAAAAACTTTAATCACTAGAACTAAATGTCTAGCAGATGAGGCACATGTACAAACAGAGCTTAAGACCCTCACAGAAGTATTAATGGAAAATGGGTTCCACGAAAATAGAATTAGAACTATAATCCAGCAAGGGACAGTAGGACAGAGCAAAACCCAAGAAGAAGAACAGAATATGGGAACTGCCATCCTGCCCTATATAAAAGGGACCACCGATAAAATTAGTAAGATATTATGGAAGCAAAAAATAAAAACAGTGTTCCGTACAAATAGAAAAATATCGATGATGGTGAGAAACCCTAAGGATAAAATTGAGTTGGAAAACCAGGGGATATACGAAGTGCCATGTGCCTCCTGTCAGTCATCTTATATTGGACAGACAAATAGACGAATAAGTGTACGTTTAGAAGAACATAAAAATGCAGTGAGGAAAGAAGAGCAAACTTCTTCTTTGGTACAACACATGAAAGCCACGGGACACAATATTGATTTTAATAAAACCAGAACAGTGGCGAAAGAGGAACATCTCAACAAAAGAATAATCTGGGAGGCCATCGAAATTGAAAAGAGGCCTCAGAATATGAACAGACGAGACAACGCCTCTAGGTTATCAAGTATTTGGGGACCTGCACTGAGAGAAACTCGAGTGTTAACATCAGAAGAGAGGCAGAGATTCCAACAAGCAACCAGTGGTGTTGCAAGAATTCTTCCTGCTCTGCAGAGGGTGGCTAGCAATAAGGAGAGAGAGAGGATTGAGCCAGAAGACAGGCTGAGATCTCAACTAACAATCAAGGGTGCTGTGATGCCTACCAGAATCCTTTCCCCTCTACAGCAGACAGATAATAATAGAGAATCTGAGAAAGCTGGGCCTGTAACACGCAGCCAAGCAGCTAGGATGAGGAAGCAGGAAGAAAAACTGCTGTCCTCCAATAGGGACACAGAGTTGCAGGCTAGCCAGCATATGTCAGCAGCAGCAAATATAGATAAGCGACAGCTCCGACCTCGCAACAGAGAACCCATAGCTTCCAAACGAAACATGAGCCTGAAGATGACAGGGTTGTGAGCCTGTCGAAACGTTGCTATAAGAGAGACTTTTAAAGTCACTGGTAGGATTTTAGCTGAGTTTTTAAAGGACCTTGCAGAGTGCTCTGTAGGGATTTTTAGAAGATTTTAAGCTGGGATTTTAACCAGAGTTTTAAACATTTTAACCAACTTATTTACAATGACATGGGAAAACACCCGAGATTTTAATTTTTTGCATATGCACACCCGCGAAAACTTAAGAAGACATATATATGTGTATATATATATGTGTGTGTGTGTGTATGCATATATGTATATGTATAGGTCTTTGGTTATTCGGGTTTTCTCCCGCGTAAAATTGAATTTCACGCAGGAGAAAACCTGAATAACCAAAGACCTACATACAAACACCCGCGAAAACCTCAGAAAACATATATATATCTATATCTATCTATATATCTATGTATATATCTATGTAGGTCTTTGGTTATCCGGGTTTTCTCCCGCGTAAAATTGGAAATGTCTTGGCGACGTTTCGACGAAGTCTCATTCGTCATCTTCAGGCTGGTGTTTTCAGCTTCGTGCTCCTAGAAGCACGAAGCCGAAAACCCAGCCTGAAGATGACGAATGAGACTTCGTCGAAACGTCGCCAAGACACTTCCAATTTTACGCGGAAGAAAACCCGAATAACCAAAGACCTACATACAAATACCCACGAAAACCTCAGAAAACAAATATTTATCTACACACATACATACATACACACACACACACATATGTGTATGTATGTTTGTGTATATGTGTGTGTGTGTGTGTGTGTACGCACACACACACACACACAATGGAAAAGCACAGTTGCATAAGGTTGCCTGGTGATTCATTAGACACTGGAGCAAGAACCCACCAAGGGAAGGTGTAATGTTTCAGGTTTTTTAAGTCTTCCACTGCTAAGCCACAATTATTTCAATAGTTAAATACATTCCATTCTGAAGATTGAATTACTGTAAGTGTTAGACCACCTGGCTTTTGAAACACTAACAGGTGTTTATCATCTTTTAGGTACATATAGCTTGGGAAAGGAGTCACTTTTGGTGGAACTGGCCCAAGAATTTCATACATGGATTGTGGTGAGTCCCCAGAAGTTGGAGCTTATGCAGCTGTTGGAGATTGAGAATGTTTTCACTTCTGAAGAAGGAGCTGGATGGATTCATGCTGTGGATTTTTCAGAAATCTGCAAAGAAACAATGACCAACTGGAATCGGAATCATCCAACCATAGCTATTCTCCCTACCAGCAGACCAGTGAAAATCAGACACCCTAATATGCATGTTGTTCCTTATTCTGACCACTCATCTTTCCAAGAACTATTAGAATTTGTAGCTTGGCTAAAGCCCTGCTCCATCATTCCTGTAGTGAAGAATGAGGCATGTCAAGTATATTTTCAACAATACTTGAGCTCTGAAAACTATTCACTTCTGGAATCTAAAGTTCCAGAATCAGTTAAACAAGTCAAGCAAAACAAAAAGAAAGAAAAGCTGATAAAACTGCTCAAATTGTCAGCCTCTCACCATGCTCCAAGGGGAGTTTGCTTTGACTCGCCTGAAAAATGTACTGGACAGAATGAATATTACCCTGAAACAGAAATTTCTGAGCAGTGCTGCTCAGAATCCACAAACGGAACTGTGCCTTATTCTAGACAAGAACAGTGTGCTCAGTTTCCACAGTGTGAAGAGAAACAGCAAGAAACAATGCTAGAACTATCAAACCTTAAGAATGACCGAGTACTTCCTGTGGTAGAGTCAGAAAACATGTTTTCCACCAAACAACAGCTGAAAGACAATGCTGACAATGAATTGAAAACGTGTCACACAGTTGTAACATCAACATGCACATGCATTTTCTCCAATGACAGAAAGGATACAATCTCCAGACTAGAAAGAGTTCCTTCTTCCTGTGAGAACAGAGACTGTCTTGCTCAACCAGTCTTGGACAATGATGTCTTCTCAACAGCATCACAGCCTGATCAAATTCACAGAGTGGCCAGTCAACAGGTTTTAAAAAACCTTTGTCATGAATATAATTTATCTCCCTTAAATTTCTCAAAACGAAAGTCCCTAGAAAACTTTGATTTGCAAGTAGAAAACTACTTAAAAAGAGGAAGAGTATCAATAGGCATAGAGTAATATAAACTTGCATTCTGGACAAGAACTTACAGGAAAAAGCAAAATGTCTGATCAAGTGCCAAAAGAGGGTAGCTATGGAATAATAATCTGATTTTCAAGTGAGGCATATCTGCGTCCTTCCCCCACCTGCTCCAGTTACTCATTAAAATAGATCTGTCTGATCCATTTTGATAAAAAGTGAATCTTCAGTATTAACAGCATGTCTCTTCACTTTTTAGGTTTTCTCCTATCTTTTAGGGCTGCTTATTGGTATTAATTCAGCTGAAAAATCATAGACCCCTAAATATGTACTTTTGTTGACATAATTGGGATTGTTTTTTAACTGAGGGGCAATCTGTCTTTTCATGACTTATTCACTACTGAAATCTTTCCTGTGAATTAACAATATTTCTGAAAAAGGAATGTGGTTTGTCAGTGATATATTTATATTTTTCCGAATAAAATTTTAAAATGAAAACTAATATTTTCCTTGGCTTTTTTTTAAAGGAAGCAAACAAGAGACTTAATCAAACTGACTACTCATGAAAAATTGTCTCTGTATTAAGAAATGATTTATAGTGCATTGGTGGTATTTAAATGTTAAAATAAATTAATGTTAAATTGAAATAAATACATTAATTTCTCTCAGTGGGGTCTGACACCAAGGTTTCACTGTAACTATAATTCATTTAAATTTAAAATATTTACTACTTTTGTTGATATTAATAGATATTTTTTCTCTGGTGTAATTTGAGATACCATACTTATTAAAAATTGCTATTGCTATTTTGGCACCGTTGGACTAGTGCAGGGTTTCTCAGCCATGGATTCAACTTGTGTGGACTTCAGCTCCCAGAATTCCCCAGCCAGCTTAAGAAGTACACACATTTTAAAGTTGCCACAGCTTAGAAACACTGGTCAAGAGTGTTGGTTTCTGCATAAAGTTATTTATTCTTTGAATGTGATTTAGCCTTCTATCAGGCTAATGAGCTGATGAAATTAAGAGATAATGTGGAAGTGACATCCACAGCAGCAATTTTCAGCCATAGTGTTCCTGGTACAGTTTTAGCCAAATGGAACACAGCATGAATGTTCACTAATAAATGAAAATATTTCCCAGGGAGAGGCTGTTGGACAAGATGGTTAGATGTGTTAATTATTTCTTTCCTGCCAGGATTGGTATAACTGCTGATGAAGCGCCTGTTTCCTGTCATAGTTGGAAAAATCATTTCTCAAAATTTTGTCACTGCTAAACTATAAAATAGTTTCTGGTCAGAAGCCATCTGGCAACGTAACTAAGTTTCCAGTCTACATCCTTAAAACAAGAAGACAGAATAATATATATTTAAAAAATCGTATTATTTGCATAATATGCTGTTTCAGTCCAAGGAGAAGGTGGGGGGAGGATTATAAAAAACAGGTTATAGTAACATGTCTGGTACTGCTTGTAACTGCTTGCTTTTCTAGTACATGTAATTCTTTCCCAGCACACCACACCTTAGAATATGATATCCCTTACGTAATTGGCAATGATATTAAACTAATCACTGCTTTCAAGATAACCACACTGCAAATGAAAGCCTCTGATCTCAGCCCAGGTGGGCCCTGCCTGATTACACCATGAAGCAGATACCAGAGCAGGAAGGGGAGGGGGGAAATGTGTTTTTTTCCCATTCCTTTACTGGCTTACTCAGTTGTGCTATTTCTCAGCAGTTTCAGTAAATTCCTGTTGCCTCTTACAGTATGTTTGTCAGAGTTGGATAGATGTTGCAAGAGCTCATCTTGGTTATCTGCTAATTTTGTAATAAAGCAAATAAAACTGAGGTTGAAATTATAAAGTTGAAAAAATGAAATGCAGTCTAGGGTAGCGGTGCTGGAAAAGCAGCCCATAAAACTCAGCCAGTGAGTTGAGGAAAAACTGCTGGGAATTGGGTGATATTTTTAACGTGTTACAAGTTAAAATTTACAAGTAACTTGTTGCTTGTATCCTTACAATTTATATTGATTGTTTCCTAGTATGATTTTATTGCTTATTTGTACCCTGTGACTATCATTAAATGTTGTACCTTATGATTTTTGACGAATGTATCTTTTCTTTTTATGTACACTGAGGGTACATATATATATATATATTGGAATGGAATGGAATGGAATTCTTTATTGGCCAAGTGTGTTTGGACACACAAGGAACTTGTCTTTGGCGCATATGCTCTCATATTTATTTATTTAAGGAAGTTAACTACTGTCAATTTCATGTTGAAGACCAAATAACTGCAGAAACAAGATTTTAAATAAAATTATAGAAAGATCATTATAATTAACCTGGAATTTTTAAAAGCAACAATTTACAAAAAAATAATAAAATGTTTGCTTTTGGTCTTTACAGAAGAAGCTTGAATGATTCTCATCTGATGACTAAGTGATTGAACAAATGTCTCCCAGATATTTCATAAAGTAATAAAACTAACAGGAAAACTGCAAGTTTATACATCCTCAGGCCTTGTATTTGAGTGCAGAAGTTCAACTTTTAAATGTATTTCTTTAAAAAAGCCACTGTACTATGAAATCAAAAATTAATGTACATTGATTAATTTTTTAAAAAGTTTATAAGGATTCAAACAACCCATGTCTGGATTTTTAAGAAGTTTCATCTTTGAAAAATCCTTAATGAAAATCCTTAATCTTGGCATGAAGAGGGAATCTTATGGATAAAAACTACTTGCTGTTTAATAATAGCAAAGAGCAGATTAAATAGACCATTTTCAGAATACACAGAAGTAAAAAGTGGTTCAGAGTTCTGTTGGCAATTAGTATTATTTAACTATTTCTTAAATTATGTGAATGCAACAAATAATCATTAAAATAGATTTATACCAAGTGGTAAAATGTTTGTCTTATGAAAAATTCTACTGTAAGAAAAATTTGTCAAATAAATGACTGGTTCTTTTGATAAGAGACAGAACCTGATCAGTGTAGCTGTTTCTTAGTACATGACAATGGGTATGAATATTTTATTTCCTGCAATAACACAGCAGTATTATTTGCAACTTACAACATTTTGGTTTGCTATCTTAGGACTTCCTTATCAAGCAGCTATTGTTATTTGATTGTGATTTTGTTGCTCTCCTTAATTCTTAATTATATTTCCATTTTAATATGTTACAGTGCATTGCATATTTGAGAGGTGATTTATATCTGTTCACAGTTACTTTCAGAACAAGTTCTGCTTCTGCAACTTATTTAATTTTTTTCTCCAAAGTATTTGTTCTTCTCTTAGTATAAAACATATATTTAATTAAGCCAGAAGTTTGGATTAAATAGTTGAGGCTTAATAAAAGTAACATCTTTGCCTTCCAGTTGCTTAAATGATTTACATTCTCCACTCCATAATAATATTATAATTAGATCACTTACTTCAAAAAGCATTGTCAGCATTTGGATATTTTTCTGATGGAGAGCAGAGGATTTTCACCTAAGCAAATTCTCAATTCAGCAGATTGTTATATATTTCTGTTCTTTAAAAAAAAACTCTATAGAGCATGTTTCACTTCATAGCTCTAGCACTACTTAAAGGATGTTCAAATTTGTTAAATGTGCATTTGTTTTTGTTTTCCTTTTGAGGTTAATGGAGAAAACCCATTGTAAGTGGAAATCTTTCCTCCTCATTCTGATCGCATCATTGGCTTCTGCAATTAACAAATAATACCTGGATAGATTGTTCTATGAGAAATTGAGTTGGAAAAACATCAGAGGCTCTCTAAACCCAAAGGCTCCCATCCATTGCCTGTATTTCATTATGGTTGACTGCTCTAATCTTTTTTAATAAGTTTCTGTTTGGAGATAACCAATTTTGCTTTATCTCTAGATTAGGTTGCTGCAAGTGCAAAAATACCGGGGATTAATTCATCTTCAGAAGAAGCCAACTGCCTTGTTTTTCTGCATGAGCCATGTTTAATTGCTAGTTAAAAGTCATGCGTAAAACAGAAACACCTTACGGCTGAGCTTCTCTGAAGACAGATAATCCTTATCTTTATTCAAATGTGTTTGAGGGGTAGGGTCTCCTAATATATGAGGGAAGGGAAGGTGGGAGAAATTTTGGCTCACCTGAAAATATTTGGGTGTAATTAATATGAAGTTCCCTGATAGACATTTTGCCAAAGTCACTACAGTTTCCTGACTTGTCCTAAGCTTCATGCATAACTTTAGCCTCCTATTAGTTCAGAAATGGACTGCACTTTTCCAAAAGGCAACTGGAACCAGGGAAGTTCCTTTATCTAATTTAGATCAGAATCAAACAGTCTGTTAGCCCACAAGGGCATTTGAAATTGTGCTACCATTTTGTGAGCACATCTCAAACTGACTACCCTGGTGCTGCCGTGTTGGGCCTATTCTCTCCCAATATAAAAAATTACTAACAGACCATCATTTGTAGTTCTATTCCCCCCCCTGCCCCCCCCCCGTCTTTGTGGAGATTTTTTCCTGAACCGGTGAAATCTCCAATCCTTTTTTTTTAAGAATGGCCCTGAGCTCCATGTGGGGATTGAAAATATTCTTGGATATAAGAATATTAGAGGATGATGTTATGTTTCACTTTTTTCAATTAAAAATTTAAAAGCCAGTTTTATTTATATATTTTAATTTAAAAAACCACAAAGGATGAAGACAGGTGAGGCAGAAAGACTGGAGGTATCTAGGACTCATCTGAATCAAAATAAATAATCTATTCCCAGTCAGAAGATTTGGCCTACTGATGCTAAAAGGGTGTGAAACAGAAAAAAGAAGATGATGAAAATAAGAACACCTCCAATGCTGTTTGGAAATCTTAAAGACATGGAGTTAGCCACATCATCATAAAGCTATTTGGGATTGAGGAGAGTTGGATGGAGAAGCAGAATTGCAGTTTAGACTTGACAGAAAGTACGGAATGCCTCCTCATAATGAACAAGTTGAAATCTCATGCCTAAATGAATTGCATCCTAGTGCACTAACAGCCAATGTTTCAGGTAGAATATCTGTCCTTTCTATTGAAATAATCTGTTAGATTGGTTCAGTTAACTAGGGTTTGTTGGCTATTTACCCCTATGTTATTGCTGTTTTAAATTTTTTAATTACAGTTGTCTTTACTATCTCCTCTCTATTCTTTTAAACTAGTACTTATATTAGTATATTACTTTTTCTTTTCTTGAAAATTATAATATCTAGCTTTAAAATAAGCAGGAAAAATGGGGGGGAGCACAGTTAGAATGAAATAAGGAACAACTAAATTATTCAAAAATGAGGAAATACATCAAGATTGGATACTCTTTATTTAACTTGCATGCATAATCTATTGTGAGAAATGAGAAACAGAAGTTGTAATTAAGATTTCTGGGAGAAACAAAAATAAGAAGAAAACTCACAAAATGTAATAAAAAGGAGATGACAAAGTCAAGAGTTCCTATCTTTAAAAAGGGAACAAAAGAATATTCTGTAACCTAT